CGTCTCCATCTCCCCCACCAAGCTGGACCCCACTTCCCCTAACACCATCCTCCTCTGCATGGTGAGGGGCTTCTACCCCGTGGAGATTAAGGTCCGGTGGCTGAAGAACGGGCGGCCGGAGGAGGAGGGCATGGCCTTCGGGGAGGAGCTGCAGAACGGAGACTGGACCTACCAGCTCCAGGTGATGCTGGAGACCCAGCCCCAGCGGGGGGACGTCTACACCTGCCAGGTGGAGCATGCCAGCCTGGAGGCCCCGATCACCGTCCAGTGGGGTGAGCCCCTCCCCTCCCCCTCGGGAGACCCTTTCCTGCCCTGAGAAGAGGGGAGAGACCCTCCCTGTGGGGGGAGCTGGGATGGACCCTCCTGGGGGTGGGAGCTGGCCTTGATCCTCCTACTCAGTGAGGCTCCTTCTCCTTCCCCAGAGCCCCGATCCTCCAACTCTGCCAAGAGCAAACTCTGGACGGGGATCGTGGCAGCCGTGATCGGGGTGATCTTCTTCACCATGGGGCTCTCCCTCCACCTGAAGAGCAAGAAAGGTGAGTCTGGGGGGCTGGATGAGAGATTGTGGGGAGGGGACCATCCAGGGGAGGCCTCTCAGCAAGCTTAGCAGATGGCAAGGAGGCCCCCTTGGAAATTTGCTTGGGAAAGTCTGTTCTCTGAGAGTCTACTGTATAAGTGAGCATCCTGCAACCTATTATGGGCTGTCAATGGGGAGGGGGACCCCCTGAGTCCTCCAGCCCATGAAGGGTCCTGATTGGCTCTTTTTCTCCTTCCAGCAACTCCCATCCAGCCTCCTGCAGGTGAGTTTCTCCCCAAGTTATAGATATTTCTTTAACATTCCTTAATTGTTCCTTTAAAAAAAATGTGCCTGAACAAAACCTCCTAGCTGTGGATAACACAAATTTTTGAAATTTTGGGCAGCTTTTCATTAAAGAGACCTGAAAACAGTGCAATGAAAAACAAGCACACACACATAAACACTAAAATCTGGCCCAGGAAGTTTCCAGGTTTTGGGAAATTGCAAAAGAGAAGTCTCTTTGTGACATTTCACACAATTTCTGGCAAAGTAACACCCAGCTTTGCTACCACTCCCCATCCTGGCCCCATCTTCTTTGTTAATATGAAATGTCTGGGCGGAGGGAGACCTCCTTTCTTGATTAACCCCCCCAGTTAAGTCAATTGGGAAAAATTCCAGAAGCCTCTGGAGATGAATTGCTGATCCTTTGCATCCTTTTCCTCTTTGAAAAGGGGGGAGGGACAATCCCTCACTTTGTTCCTACCCATCAACCACCCCCCTGCAATGTGGGCCTGTCTGGGGGTGTGGCTGAAAGAGAGGAATAATAAGCTATTTACACTGGCTTCACTTTATTTTCTAATTTTCTCCCCATCTCTTTTTTTTCTACAGCACTCATGAATTAATTCTGCCGTCCTTCCTGCTTCCTGGTGGGAAAGGAAGGGGCTTTTTTCTATTAGCTGATGAATTTCTGTCTCTTTTTTGCAACCTCTGAAAAATGGAGGGTCAAGATTTTAGATTGGGGGGAGGAGGAGAATGGCAGCCTGGAGCTTTTCCTGCTGAGACCCCTCTGGCTTTCCTTTGAAGGCCTCTCTTTCTTGTGAGGGAGCGGTGGAGACCATCTAGACTGATCCCTAGGACTCTGGGCCTTCCTGTCAGTCCAGACACCCAAATCTCTCCCTGCTTTACATCCACAGCAGCTTCATCTTCATTACTCTTCGTCCGAATCCCTTCCCTTCGCTTTGCTATAAAAGAATAAACATTGTAGGAAAAATCCTGGAATTCCTTCTTCCTTCCTCTTCCTCCTCCTCTTTCCTCTCCCCCGCAGGAGGGTCCTCCCTTCTCCCCTTCCCCTCCCCAGATTGACACTTCCCCTGCCTCTGGATCAACCATCCCGGCTACTTCAGGTCTAAAGTCAAAACTGGTTTGAGAGGAGGGTTGGCAGATCCAGGGAGAGGAACGGACAGGACTCCCCTCCTGCTTGGGGGCCCCCTTGCTCTGCTTCCCCTCAAGGCTCCTTTTGAGGACCAGGATGCCAGGAGGCGTGGTCCCCTTCAAGCACTTGTGGGGAGCCATTGGGGGACACCTGAGACTCCCCCTAGACTCACCCAGCCATTTCTGCCATTTTCTCTCCTTCACAACTGGAGGGTCCTGCCCCATTTTGGCACCCAACACCTCCCTCCCTCCACCTGAGACCCCAGAGGCCTTATTCAGGACTGCCATCCTATCGCCACTGCTCCCCACAGCCCTTCCTGCCTTCGGGTCTCAAGCCCCCTCCCTCTGGGCAGAGGGTCTCCAACAGAGAGAGTCCTGGGCGAGTCTTGTGTGGCCCCCAACTGGAGCTCATATGAGACCCCCCCACACAGAAAAGGCCCTGAGTGGTCCTGTGGCCAATGGCCTTGATCTCTGGGAAGGTTGCACTGATGTCCATCTCCCTGGTCTGAGGGCTCCTGGGCAGGGGGTGTTGGGAAGGGTGTCTTCCCCAGGGCCTCTTGGGGCCAGAGCAGAAAGTCCAGCCGAAGCCATTCCTGGTGTAGGAGACATTTGCCATTGGGGGGGAGGGAGAGCAGCTCTGCGGGAGAGAGGAAAGATCAAGGGGGCAACTCTGAGTGGAAGACCCCTCCCTTCTCCCCAGCACCCCTAGATGCCCCTAGATAGCTCTCCCACTGAGCCTTGCCCCCTCCAGAAGCCATCCAGGCTGCTTCTGCAGGATTCCCCTGGCATCGATCTCCAAGGGCTGATTTTTTCCCTCCCATTCCTCATCTGGGGCACATAAAGAATAGGTCGGTGGAGGAACAGTCTCAAAACCTTACAACACAATGCCTGTCTTCACACTATTATGAGATCCTTATGCAGTCAACATCACCTTAGATGCAAACTAAATACGGCTACCCCATATTTTCCTGGAACATAATTATGGGCTGCCACCTGGGGGAACTCGGGGAAGTATGTGTTGATGTACAGGAGCAACAGGCTTAGTTCCTTGCATCATCAGGAAGAGCCAGCAGGTGTAGGAATTTCTCACTCTCCCGTTGGACTCTTTCACTCAGCTGAACAAGAAGGGCTGGAGAAGAGAGGAGAACATTGCAGGGTTTACTAGACCCAAACCTCCTTTCTTCTCCCTCCCAGTGACAGAACTGGAGTTAGAAAGGGCTCTTTGCCTTGAGGGGGGAGCCCCTTTCTGAGGACTCCCCCCTGCCCACCTTGCCCTCACAGGCAGTGAGTATTAGTGGGTCAGTGAGGCTACAAATGGCAAAACTAGCCAATCTGAAAAGAAAGTCAATTATTAGTAATGTAGTTCTTTGCTCAAGAACCGCAGGGAGCAGGTAGAGGCTAGCTGTATTTCTGAAAGTGCACTGAAGTCTAGAAATAATGTTGAGCTCCTGGTGTTACCCCAGAAACGGTCAATTATCTTGTGTAATGAGTTCTGTATGTGCCGAGAGGGAAATGGGGACAAACTGACATGTTGTTTAACAATAAAGTGTCAAGCTGTGAAGATCCCTTGCTTTAGAACTGCCATGATGCTTCTGGCTGATTTCTGTGTTACGTGTACCCTGCCTGTGTTGTAAAAAATGCTGCATTAAAAGGCTAATAAAGAATGGATATATGTTAACTATTAACCTAGACCTACTCTGGTACTTACTATTTGTATTTTAATAATTATTTTCAGTGAGGTCTGATTCATAGTTGAGATTTTAACATTTTATAGGATATTTATGCCACAGGTTAAATATTTACATCCCCTTATAAATGTAGACATTGTAATAAAAGAGAAGTAGAAAGTGTGTGAATGAAAGTTGAGAGGGGGGAGGAATTGAATGGATACTGGTTGTTCAAATTATGTTTTCACCTGTGTACATTGTTAGATCACACCCCTTTATTAGCATAGGTGTAATAGTGTCCACAATAGTATCCCTCACATGTTGGCTGTGTTTGTTTGCCTGCATCAGGTCCTATGTGACTCACCCTATGTGGTTTTATTGTGTAGTCTATTTATTTGTTTAGATGGTATCTAATCAATTTCATAACATCTGTTGGTCTGTCTATTTAACAAAAAGATTGGGCCAGGAAAGGATCCTCTCTCTCTCTCTTGCAGATTTCCTATTGCTACATCTTCATTTCCTTTATCAAGATCCAGGCTGTGCTGATATTAAGCCATTCTTATTCTAAGTTGTATCCAAGGCTATTTCACTTGAGAAAAAATAACCTTAAGAATTTTTCTTCTGCTCCTTTCCAAGATCTTAGTGAATAGCTTCAATCTGATTTTATACTATTTCTGCCTAAGCAACTACATTAGCTGGAAGACATCGGTGGCAAAGTAATCGCAAAGCAATAAATAAATAAACCGAAAGAGAAGAATGAGACTGTGTGAAATTATAGCATAATATATGGTTGAAGAGCAGGCAACACCTCCCTCACTCCCCTCCCTCCCTCTCTCCCTCCCCCTCCCTCCCTCTCCCCCTCCCTCTCTCTCCCCCCCTCCCCCCTCCCTCCCTCTCCCCCTCCCTCTCTCTCCCCCCTCCCTCCCCCTCCCCCTCCCTCTCTCCCCCTCCCTCCCTCTCCCCTCCCCCTCCTCTCTCCCCCTCCTTCCCTTCCTCTCCCTCTCTATATCTCTCTCCCCCTACCTCTCTCCCTCCCTCCCTCCCTCCCTCCCTCTCTCTCCTTCCCTCCCCCTCCCTTCCCCTCCTTTCCTCACTCCCTCCCTCTCCCTCCCTCCCTCTCTCTCTCTCCCTCCCTCCTTCCCTCCCTCCCTCTCTCCCTCCTTCCCTCACTCCTGCCTCCCTCTCTCTCTCCCTCCTCTCTCTCCTCTCTCTCTCCTCCCTCCCTCTCCCTCCCTCCCTCCCTCCTCTCTCTCTCCCTCCCTCCCTCCCTCTCTCCCTCCCTCCCTCCCTCCCTCTCTCTCTGTATCTCTCTCCCCCTCCCTCCCTCCCTCGCTCTCCTTCCCTCTCCCTCCATCCCCCCTCCTCTCTCCACAAATGTTTTAGAGTTTGATGGGTAGCAATTTTATTTAGATAAAGAAAGATAAAGCGATAGCAGGCAGCAATCTCAGGTGCTTGGCCATATGTTGAAGATATCCATGGTCGTAGAGGGAGACAGCATTATTTTCCACGTGTCCTATACAAATGAGAAAAAAATAATAAGTTGATCAAAGTGAGCTTAAAGTAAATTCTTTGCTTTCCAAAGCTTTTTGAATGCAAACAATATCAGGCAGAGAATCTCATTATGTACTCTATCTGTAGTATCTCTATTAGAGGAGAGTTGTCTTACCTTTTACAACACTTCAATAGCGACCCACAGCCCAGGTTCCCAATGTTAGAAGTTCCAAGAGGACATCGGCTGACACGGCAGAATCCGCCTTCCCGATTACACTGTGGTTGGGCATTCCCTATGAAAAGAAAAAGAGGAGACAGGTAAACGATGAGTAAAGATTCCTTAATATTTAAATATATTTTTCCTTCCAAGACACTACCTTCTTCTACAGAATTGCAGGATTCCTTTATCCATTTATATTTTTATTCATTTATAATGTAAAAATATCAAAATAAAAAGCAAATAGTAAGGAACAACAATAGGGAAAGAGGAAATGTGGAAAGGGGGGAAAGAAACAAAAGGCGTTGACTTCCGATTCCCTGTTGCAATAAAATAAGGCATGAAAATCGAATCTCAACTTTTTGCATTTCTGTATTAGTATGAACTAGCCATTTCTCTATCAACAAATCAGTCTAATCAGTAAACCCCAAAATCATCGTATCATTTTTTTCCACCTCAAGCACAAAGGCCAGAAGCAGTTTCCAAGTAGAAACAATAATGCTTTTATTCTTTTCTTTTATCAAAACTGTCAGTTTAGCCAAATTCACTCAGTCAGCTTTCAGGCCCAAGGTGGGACTAGAACTCAGTACCCAGAGTTGTCATGTTTTGCTCTAATCACTAGACCAAACTGTTTCTCCACTTTGCCTCCTTATTCAAACAAAACATATTTGGCTGAGAATTGGGTAAACCAATACTAAAGTGAAGCGTACCCAAAAAAATAAGCTACAATAACAAAACCCCCAATAAAGTTCTTTCAAGAATTGTGAATCAAAAGAAAAATCAATGGCATATTTATCCTTATCGAGATCCAGGCTGTGCTGATATTAAGTCATCAGACAAAGTCATTCTTATTCTAAGTTGTATTTAAATGGTATTCAAAATGGTATTTAACTTGAGAAAAAATAATCTTAAGAATTTTTTTTCTGCTTCTTTCCAAGATCTTAGTGAAAAGCTTAAATCTGATTTTATACTATTTCTGCCCAAGCAACTACATTAGCTGGAAGACATCAGTGGCAAAGTAATCACTACAATAAATAAATAAACCCAAAGGGAAGAATGAGACTGTGTGAAATTATAGCTAATTATAGCACAAATTATAGCTAATTATAGCACAAAGTCCAGAAGCAGTATCCAAGTACAAACAAAAGTACTTATATTCTTTTCTTTTATCAAAACTGTCAGTTTAGCCATCTCTGCTAACTCCATCAGCTTTTGTAACCGTTCATCCAAGATGGGAATGGAAGCATCCTTCCAGGAATTGCAAGTTTCCTGGGACTACAGCAAGTTTTCTCTGACCACACAGATCCATCTCTGCTGATCTCCTGCAGCAGCTCAAATAAATCAGCCATTAACCCAGGTTTGAAGTCTGACTCAAAGATGAATTAGCTGGTAAGCCTACATCTATTAATGTAGGAGGGAAGAAATAATTGTATTTCATATGAAGGATAGACCTTACTGTGATATATTTCTCTCCAGTATTGCCATGGATCCTTGCTGAGTTACAGTGGCCAGTTGCATTGTGTGTTTGGATGAAGACCTTGAGTGAGCTGAGAATTTGGTAAACCAATGTTAAAGTGAAGCAAATCAACAAAAATAAGCTACAATAACAAAAACCCCAACAAAGTTCTTTCAAGAATTGTGAATCAAAAGAAAAATCAATGGCATATTTTTCAAATCTTTGGAGGCTCATATTGTCAATAGTCTATACTGTTCAAAGCTATTTCTGTAAAGTAAAACAAAAAGATGTTGAAGATTATCCTGCTTTCAGTGAAGATCATATTTGTTTAAAAAGGAGTAAGTTACCAATCCTTTGTAAATTATCAGTAATTTTATTTCTTACCTGGTTCAGACAGGAATGCAAGGAAAAGAAATGCGAATAGCAGATAAAGGATCTTCATGCTGAGACTGGTTCTGGACCAAATCTTACTGCTGGGACAGACATGGCTCTCTATTTATGGAGTTGTAATGATTGCATCATATCACCTCAGTGAAGTATTGCAAAATAGTTCTTACCTAAGGCAACGGTGCATCTTCCTTGTATTGAAACACTCCTGTTTGTTAGCTGTTACAAAAGCCCTGAGAAGAGCAGCAGACTTAGTTGAACATCTAACCTGCTATGGCTATAAAAGATGGGAGGCTCAGGACTTGCAGTGTCCAAATGGGTCAAAGAAAATTCCTTACTGAATTGCTGCCCAAACTCTACAGTCCACGATGATAATGCTCGGCCATGTTCACCAATGGCTGGACTTTGGGAAGAGCCCTTAGAACTAAGTGGTGGAAATCTGGGGTTGGCATTGCTATCATGGGCGACACATTTTTATGGGTGGGTTTTGGGAAAACAGCTGCTCTGCTTCCTGGTGGGTCTTTGTGGCACTCAGATGAAGCACAGACTGATTTGGCTTTCGTTGAAGTATTCCTCCCTCATCCAGGTGATTTCTATTTCTCTGAAGACAGAGAATATATGCAGAGTTGGAAATATCCCTGATGTCTTAGTTGAGGGTTAATAATAATAATAATGATAAAGTTGGAAGGGACCATGGAGGTCATTTAGTCCAACCACCTGCTCAGGTAGGAAACCCTGTACCATTTCGGACAAATGGCTGTCCAGTCTCTTCTTAAAAACTTCCAGTGTTGGAGCATTTACTGCTTCTGGAGACAGGTTGTTTCACTGGTTAATTGTTCTCACTGTCAGGAAGTTTCTCCTTAGTTCTAGGTTGCTTCTCTCCTTGATTAGTTTCCACCTGTTGCTTCTTGTCCTGCCTTCAGGCGCTTTGGAAAATAGCTTGACTCCCTCTTCTTTGGGGCAGCCCCTGAGATACTGGAACACTGCTATCACGTCCCCCCTCATCCTTCTCTTCGTTAAACTAGACATCCCCAATTGCAGCTACCGTTCTTTATATGTTTTAGCCTCCAGTCCCCTAAGCATCTTTGTTGCTCTTCTCTGCACTCTTTCTACAGTCTCAACATCTTTTTTACATTGTGGTGCCAAAACTGGAGGCAGTATTCCAAGTGTGGCCTTACCACTCCTTATTAGGAGTCCTGTGGGACACAGAAGATCAACTGACATTGAGAAGGAGAACTGGGTTCCAAAAGCTGTGAGTGTTGGTTACATTGAATGTTTCCTGCTGCTTCAGTTACAAAGGATCTCATGGGGGCCATATTTTTTATTACTTATCTCTACATTTCAGTGGTGAGAACAATATGGCTTTACACTTAGGCAAGAAAAAAGGAATGCACAGGTATAGAATAGGTGATACGTGGCTCAGTAGCAGTAACTGTGAGAGTTTGGCTCCAGAGGTTTTGGGTGCTCCATCACTGGAGGTTTTTAAGAATAATTTGGAAAGCCATTTGTCTGGAATGGTGTAGGGCTTTCCAGCTTCAGCATGGGATTGGACTAGCAGGTCCCTGCCAACTCAGTTATTCTGTAAGTTCTGTTGCTTCTCAGGTGTCGCATCCAGTTGCCATGGATGCTGTAGAGATTTAGAGATGGTTTCAGAGTGAAGCACAACCCTTTTCCCATGCCCTGAATAACACAGTAACTTAAAATCTGTTTTCACAAAACAAAATACTCAGACATAGTTACATATAAAATCATCCTAGTTTCACAAACTAAATATGACTTTTCAACATTTGCCTATTTTTCACCATCTTTTTCTCTTTTGTCTTTTTTTCTTCTCCCAATCTGTGATACAATTGCTCTGAGAAAGGATCCTTACAGTGAAGGATGAGAAGAATAGAAAAAAAAAACCACTGAAAGATTTAACAATTTCTGTGTTAGATGCAGAAATGTAATACAGAAAATCAAGTAATCAAGATGCAAAGAATTGTTGCAGTGAAAAAGCATCCTTGGAGGGTCTCTCAGGAGTCAATATTGAGCCTGGTTGTTGGTGAGCAATGGGTTGAAAGTTCCTGGCAATGAGTGGAAAAGGTGGTTGTTGAGCCACATCTCCTAAGCTTTGCCTTGAGGGCTGGAGCCAATTTCTGTGGACTCCCATCAAATAGCCTTGATACAGGACCTGATAGAAGATGAACATGCAAAATTAGAAATCAATTAACCACAGCTGCACTAAAGAGTAGGAGACCAGTGAGACTGAAAATGGCAAAATTGGCAGCCCTAAAAAGAAAGGAAATTCATATTTAATAATGTGGTTCTTTGCCCAAGAACCACAGAAAGCAGTTAATGAGGAAATTGTGGAAGCTGCATCAATAAAAGTGCCTTGAAACCTTGAGATAATGTCAAACTTTTGCTATTCCCCAAGAAACAGACAATTACTTTGTGTAATGAGTGGGTGCAGCAACGGAAATGAGGAAAGCACAGATGCAAACTGACTTGGTGTTTAGTAATCAAGTTAAGTAAGGTAGAGAATAATAAAATAAATGGAGACTATGACTTAAATTTAGGTTTAAAAATAATTGAGGAACACTCCATGGTCCCTTCCATCCCATTTTTGTTCATTTGCTTGAGAGTGTGTTTGGGGCTCAATGGAGCCATGAGAAGTAGGATTCAGATGTACCAAAATTGAAGAAAAAGGTGATGCCAATATGACATTTGGGTTGCATGTGCTGTTAAGAGGACTTGGATCCTATTCTCATAATAATTATCTGATTTTAGATGAGTCAAAGTCAAAAGTGATGGTTCTTGGAAAATGACAGCATTGCCCTATAGGGCTCATCGATGAGGAGGCAACAGAGCAAGTTCACACCTTTCCTTACCTGGGGGAATTTTCTCTGGGACTGGATCTGGGCTCCCTCAACATCAAAGGAGCTCACTTAGAAGGCACAAGTGAATGCACTGTTAATTTTTTTTAAAAAAACCTCATAGGTATGCAGCTTCCTTAGACTGAGTTATTAAATACAAAATACCACCGTTACTATTATGCACTTATATTGAGCTGAACTTTGGGATTTAATTTATATCACTATTAGAAGAAATCAGATCACATATCTGAGAAGTATCTTGAGGGTGGATGAAAGGACTTCAACTGCTGCCCTCAGAGCAGAATTGGGAATTTATACAATTTAGAAAATTGGGGTATATAATTATTTTTATTAAAATTAATGGTATGGAAAATAATAATACTAGTAATAATAGTGATGATGATGATGATGATATTGGAAGGGACCTTGGAGGTCATCTAGTCCAACCCCCTGCTCAGGCAGGAAACCCTATACCATTTCAGAGAAATGGCTGTCCAATCTCTTCTTAAACACTTCCAGTGTTGGAGCATTCACAGCTTCTGGAGGAAGGTTGTTCCACTGGTTAATTAGTTAGTTAGTTTCCATCCGTTGCTTCTCATCCTGCCTTCAGGTCCTTTGGAGAAGAGCTTGACTCCCTCTTCTTTGGGGCAGCCCCTGAGATATTTAAACACTGTTATCATGTCACCCCTCGTCCTTCCCTTTGTTAAACTAATAAGAGTGCCCAAATGCTATTAGAACAAACAAATTTCATTTAAAACATTCTTGATTTTATATTGGGAACTGTAATCTGCCTGTCTTTTTTGCCACTCGAGAAAAACCTAATAAAATGCTGCAGAGAGAATCCAGGATGGTTAAAATAGAGAAAAGTAGGGCGTCTTCAGTAAGGCTGGCACACTGAAAGGCATCAGCTTCTACAAATGTACCTTCCAAGTATTGAGTTGAATCTTCCAAACTCCTTACAATGAATATACTTGTATTTGTGGAGTTCCAGAAATAGAAGATGTAGTACATCTATTATTTTGAATGACAATTATTTAAGAAAGAGGGAGATCAATATCTTGGATTGCACTTTAGAGAAACAGTCTATTGGGATCAAGCTGGCAGGAATAGCCAACACTCCAGAAGACAGGCTTAGGATACAAGAGGATCTGGACAGACTTCAACACTGGGCACTATCTAACAAAATGAAATTCAACGGTGAAAAAAGTAAGGTTCTACATTTAGGCAAGAAAAACCAAATGTATAGGTATAGTATAGGGGTACCTTGCTCAATAATAGTAACTGTGAGAGGGACCTCAGAGTCCTAGTGGACAATCACTTAAATATGAGCCAGCAGTGTGCTGCAGCTGCCAAAAAGGTCAACACAGTGCTGGGCTGCATTAACAGAGGGATAGAATCTAGATCACTTGAAGTGTTAGTATCACTTTACAATGCCTTAGTAAGGCCACACTTGGAATACTGCATCCAATTTTGGTCACCGTGATGTAAAAAAGATGTTGAGACTCTAGAAAGAGTACAGAGAAGAGCAACAAAGATGATCAGGGGACTGGAGGCTAAAACATATAAGGAACAGTTGCTGGAATTGGGTATGGCTAGTTTTATGAAGAGAAGAATGAGGGGAGACATGATAGCAGTGTTCCAATATCTCAGGGGCTGACACAAAGAAGAGGGAGTCAAATTACATTCTAAAGTGCCTGAAGGCAGAACAAGAAGCAACAGATGGAAACTAATCAAGGAGAGAAGCAACCTAGAACTAAGAAAAAACTTCCTGACAGTTAGAACAATTAACCAGTGGAACAATCTGCCTCCAGAAGCGGTGAATGCTCCAAAACTGGAAGTTTTTAAGAAGAGACTGGACAGCCATTTGTCCAAAATGGTATAGGGTTTCCTGCTTGAGCAGGAGGTTGGACTAGATGATCTCCAAGGTCCCTTCCAACTTATTATTATTATGGATCATCGCACAGTCAGCCAGATGTTCAGACTGGATTTGGCATTTTGTCTACCTATCGAGTCCTTACCCAGGACCTGGGATAGGCAGATGTGGATGT